TTACTGTGCTCATATATATTAGCAACATATATATCAAGTGTGTTCAGATTTATTTGATTTATTTTTTTACTGTAATTTCATTTCTGTTGGATTCTGTTCTTGGTGAAAGGTATAAATGGATATCTGCCTGTGTAAGTTAGCTTTTAAAAAAATGTCTTCAGTATTGATAAGACCAGGAAAAGTAGTATGATCCGTCTTGATTTCTACTGGACCCTACTTGATATGTGCTCGTGATTCAGTTGTTGGGGTATAGGGAGCTCCTGTGCTCCTGATAACTGGATGTTCTGCTGTGCCATCTGTAACTGTTGCTGTTTTATTTTATGAACTGAAAAATAACACACTGCCAATTTCCCATGCATCAAAAAGGAATGGTTTCTGTGATTTACTTGAAGATGCTAACTGTGTGGAATGCAGCAAGGAAGGTTACCTGGAATAGGTAAATAGCATCGTTAGTGCTCAGCTTGCCATGCACAGTCAGATACATGTAGGAAAGTTATGAAATGCATCCTCCATCCTGGGAAAACCTCTGACCAGAGCTCATCCCTCATTAGGCACCAGAGCAAAATAACCACAACACGAAAAATTGCATTAAGGGTGGTGGTGGTGGGGAGGCAGGCCTTAACAGGGCTGTTTGTGCTCTGTGGTGACTTTTTGCATGGTGGTTTGGTTTTTAGGTGTTGTTTTACTTTTTAAATTTTTACTGCTCTCTTGAGTGTTGCTCTCTGTCACTCGTAGTATCTTTCTTGATTTGTACATCAATCCTCGATTGCAGGGCACTTAGTTCTGTAGCTGTGGTAGCTACCAAAGGATGGACTTAATGGGAACAGATGGTGCACTTGGCTCAGGATGAAAATAGTAGGGAATTTTTAATGTTGATTTACAAAATATTTAGTTCTGTTTTTCCATAAAATCACCCCAAATAAATCTGTTTTTTCCCTCACATAGACAAGCTGCCATTTCCAGGTTTCTGATATATAAGGGGAGCAAAGTGTTGGGGGTAGTGTCATAACTAGGAAAACTTGGGAAATCCTGTTTCCTGCTGAAATTTCATAGTGTGGGTGTGAAGCTTCACCTTGAGGAAATCTAGGGATGTTGCTTTATTTTGTAATAATTTAAGTCATTATGGGCTGTCCATGTGTTTCCTGACACATGCAAGGAAATTTCTGCTGTTGTCGTGTGGTTGTTCAGGTGGACATTGAAGTTGCTCACCCGCGAGGTGTTTTAAGGATCATGAGACAGTGTGATAGCCTGATAAAGCATCATTGCAATTGTTGCCCAGTAGGAAAATCTCTCCTGCCTGGTGAGAACTGGGAATGGAGGAGGCACATTAGGAGTTAAGGTGGGGAAAGATTAATGTTGCATTGTCATGGCATGAAGTCCTTTCCCTTTGCTGTTTGACCTATGCTATTGGTCTCTATAAATGTGTATAAACTCTATGTGTATGTGCATACATAAAATATATGTACGTGAACTGTACTTGTGTGTATATACATATATGATATCTGGAGGATTTCTTGTGTGGAAAAGAAACATAAGAAAACCTGACACTTCCTGAAGGCATTTTAGATTTTGGATTAACTGAACTATGTGAAATCTTAACACTTCCCTGTGACGTTTTAGATCACCTGCTATGGGGTAAAAGAGTTTTAAGAACAGATTTATTTTTTTAATCTGAAAAATGCTGTTCTAAAAGGATTTTAATGGCAAATATTAGATATGGGAAATAGGGAAAACTGCATTGCCATAAAATGGATATTATTGGATGTGAAGGGGATCCTTTGTCCCTTTTGTACTTTCCCCTCCAATTTAGGGTTAATTGAAGTTCTGAGAAACAAATTACTGAATTTCCTTCTGGTTTAGCTTGAGGTCATCTGAGGATCTGAATGGCATGTTCTCCCTGCAGGAGGGCTCCTGAGGCCTTACCAGGTGGCCTTTGTCACATGGACTGTGACCCAGACAGTTATTTCGAGCACTTTAAATCCAGTAAGGCTCTGTTAAATGGGATCAATGTAAGTCAGCAAGCCTAGCTGCAACTTAAGTTTTCTTTATATAATCAAGGCATTTGCTTCTGGTAACACTTACTGTTTGTGAAGGAGAAAGGCTGGGACAAATACACTTTAAATGGTCTTCAGGAGCTCTTGTGCATTACTGTAGTCTAAAATGTTAAGAAAAAGCTTGTTTATAGTTGCAGACTTTCAGTATTCTGTTGTGAGTTGTTCCAGCATTGTCTAAAATAGTGTAAAAAATTATATGGTAATGATTCTTGTGTTAGAGATTTTTTCCATTTCTGAAGTGTAGATAAAATGTGACTTTCCAAAAAATGTAACTTTCCATAACCAAACTAAACTCTTAGAAAACTGTGCATCAAATAGCCCAAACAGATTTAAAGCAAGCTCTGCAAGATGTTTAATGCCATTATTCAAGAGACTGTATTGAAAGAGAAATAAACTATTAAAATAGTTTCTCAGTGGTTTATTGTAAATTGGGAAATGAAAAGCCACTTTTTGCCTTCTTATTTTAATTGTCAAATGGATGAAGAAGGGATTTATGTTTGTAATGTTGCCTTTTGGATTGCAGTCCAAACAGATCCTGGAATGTGTGGGTGGAGAACAAGAAAGAATTTTCCTTCAGGTGGGAAATATCCTGGTATGGTTGATTGTTAATTAACAGTGCCTATTAAATAGCAGTTATCCTGGTTTTGTTTTTGGGATTTTTTTTTTTTTATTTTTAACTATTATTTTTTTATTTAATGCCCTGTGGTCTTACTATGTTAGAATACTTCTGGGTTTTGAAATAGTTGCCTGTGGACATTTTCTCAGCTCTCTGGGCTGCTGAGTTTTGCTGTGGAGAGTGAGAACTGTGTGGCTCTGTCTACATAAGGAACTCTGCTCATATCTGATTAAGATCCAAGCCTGTTTCCAGATGACATCTGGAAACATTTTGACCTGCTAGTGGAGGGCTGTTCCTGACCTAATTAGCTCGGTGTTATAACTGTCTCTCTGCTGCTTGATGATTTTGTTCCTTTTGACTTCATGTGGTTTATACTCTTCACTGAACGTTACCATTTAGGGTACTAAAGGTTAAAACAAAATTAGACTTTACAATCTGCTGCTTTCCCAGTCAATGTTTCAGTACTTCTAAAATTTCATGTGTGTAATCACTGGTTATTCCATGTACAAAGAGCTGAATAATTCAGCAGCCGTATGGTTTGCACATGTCAAGATGATACAAAAGAAGGGGATGATCAATCTAAGTCTTTTTTCCTGTGCTGTAGAACAAAGCACTGATTCTTCCTCTGCTTCTTCCTCTTAACTCCGTGACTAGTTTCTTCTAGTTAGGGCTGAATGCTTCTTTTCAAGAGGTGGCATTTCTGAAGGGTAAATGTTACTTGAGAGGTAAACTGTATGCTGTAGTAAAGTATTTATATTTTCATTTCTTTCAACTATGCTTAAAAAACAAAGGCTACCACTATTTCTTCATATGCACAAGGAAAATATTTTTGAGTTGCTGTGCAAAACTGGTCACAGAGAATTTAAACAAACTCCAACAAATGCATACTGTGTATCTTTTGGTAAAGACAAATAAAACTAAAGGGAAACAAATAGTGACTCAGTTAATTTCTGTTTACTTGAATAGGAGAAGGAACGATAATAAATTCTTGGAGTATAATACAGATTTCAAGAAAGTTCATATGAAAGAAAACTGTTTTCAGTGCAGCAGAAGTAGTTCCTGGTTGAAACAAGTCCATTCTTAAGATAGCAAAAACTAAACAAATGCTCCTATATGACTTGAAAAGACATTTTTTTCCTTTCTCACGTACATGCATATCATTTACATTGTATTCGGTGTTAGCATAGTATTATTAGGTTGAAATAGAAAAATTGGTAGCGGCAGTAAGGTTTTTGTTGGTTTTTTTTTCAAATGTATGAACTCAGTGGAACAGATGTTCAGAACAGCATGGAATATTCCTTCTTCCCCATCCCACCATCCCTTTCACACCGAGCCATCTGGAAGGGACTATGAGCAGGATGAGCAGCCATCACGCTAAGAACAAGATTAACGTGTCGGCATCTTTTGTTGATACTTTAAAATGGTCACTGTTTGTTCAGCAGAAAGAAACAATGTGAAGTCTCATCACTGTGTGTGTGCTTAGATTATTCATGTGGATATGGAAAGAAGGCAGAAGAGAAAATAGACTCAGATATACGTATTTGCGGAAAGGCTTCTGTGTATATTTTTTCAGAGCTCTTTAGTCCGTGCTCTTCATGTACTTTATTTTTTTACCCTGTTGTTTTGTGTGTGTGTGTGTGTGTTGGGGGTTTTTTTGTGGTGGTTTTGTTTTTTTTTTTTTCTTTTCTTTTACAACAACAAGTATACCATGTGTGGTTTTCTTTCAGTTTACTCAGTTGGATTGCTTTAGTACCCTTTAGCCTTATATGTTTTGAGAGAAAGTGTTAATTAGTGTTTTGGCTTAATAAACAGAATTTTGGTTAGAGGAAGGACGGCTTATGGACTAGAAATGAGAGACTCTACTCATGTGTGAAGGTGCCCTGGATCATCTGTATTCTGATGCAGAATTAGTAGAAAAGGGTGGGTGGATCTGATGCTGATAGAGTGACTGGATTCAGTACAGCAAGCTATTGTATTGTGCAATCTGTGAAATCCCTGTAGATTTCAGGTAAGCAAATCTCTTTTTCAATAGATATCTTAGTAACATTAAGTGTATCAAGGAAGATTAAAATATGTTTCTGAAGGAGAAATTGTACATAAAAGCTTAACACACAGGATCAGGTGGGGCCAGTGTTTTTCTTCCATTGTTTTGTGTTTCTTTCAATGAAGAGAGTTTTAAGGAATGGAAATCTGAGGTTCAGGCAGGCTGTTTGAAAATGAGGTACTTAAAGCCTGAAACTACTAACTACCGTAGTGATGTAAGCTGTTCTAAGTGAGAAAGTATTCAGAGGAAAGTGACAAAACTCAAGATCTCAGTTTTCACATCTCAGTTTTCAGAGTGAAGATAAGCATGAGAAAAAGAAGAGACTTCAAAACTAGGCGAGGGATATTCATAGATGTTCTGAGGAAAGCTCATCCTGTGGAGAAATAGAGGTATGAAATGAAGTAAATATTAGTGTTTTAAAAAAAGTACTTCAACGTGAAAAACATACTGTGTATATGTCTTCTTGTATTTTTATAAAATCATAAAGCATCTTTAAAAAGCATGAAGATTTAAATGACAGGTAAAAAGATCCAAAGTAATTTTCTGGCAAAGAATTTTGCATATTGGGCAGTGGAAGAAATTCTGTGAGTAGAAATTGCAGACTCCATTAATTTGGACAGTGAGAAAACTTAATACAGGAAATTAATTCACTATTCCCTAGGTACGTTGTAGCTGGGCCTGAAAAGTTGTATACCTGGAAATGGAGGTAAATCAGTGCAGTAACTTCAGTTACTGGCTTTGTTAGCAGAGAGTGAGAAATACCTTTATTTCTTCCTTTAACAATGATGTAGCCATTTAATTGGATGACATGTATACGATCCCTTATTTTGGAGGAGGAGATGAAACTTCATAATCTCTCTGCACTTCATAGTGATAAGATTTTTATTTCCTTTAGAAGCTACTGGGAAAAGTACTGTGAAGGGGAAAAGCTACTCTTGGGATTGTAGCTTTGTAATATTTAATTTCTATTGAGATGAAAAAGTTAGTGCAGTAACTTTGAAGTGGTCCCTCAGTCTTGTTCAAGAGGCACTCTTGCTTGGCCGTGAACTGTAGATACAAGTACTTAAGCAGAACTTAATGAGACCTTTGCCACTATTACAGAATGGCAGGTGCACAGAGATCATCTTGAGCTACAGTCAACAGGTAATGCAAAGATGGGGTTGTAAAATGAAGGCAAATGCCCCCCAGAATACCCATCCAGGAAGCTTTGGAGAAAACAAGGCAGATTTCTAACTTCATAGTTTTGGATAGTGTTTGAAAACCTCTTATATTACAGTCTGCCCTCTCAGGGAAAGAATAGCTACTTAATTTCAGCTTAAATCATTCTCAGGACCTCCTTTTTCCTGTATTAGTGAATGTTCTCTCTTCTATTCTTGTTTAGAGTTAATGTGAAGAACTAAATTTAATTTAAAGTGAATTTTCAATACTGTGAAGATCAATTTGCTTTTTTCTCTCCCAATTTTTTAATTAGTAGAATTTCTGAATTAATGCCTTTACCTTTAAATGGGTCTGCAACCTTTGTGTGCAGGCCCACTGTGTTAAGATGTAACTGTTGTTCTGCCTTTTACATGGTTTTTGAAGATGTAGAGAGTTGACTAGAAAAATATATATCCATAAAGTTTATTTAAATTTTAGATAAATAAAACTAAACCCCATCTCCCCTCCCCTGTTGTCCTTTCTCTTGTCATTGCTTAATGTCTTGATTTCCTTCATAACATCACTGGACCATAAAATCTGCCCTGAAGATCTCAGCACAGACAAAAACTCAGCCAAATAAAGAAAACAAAACAACTGTCCAAGTTGGTGAACCTTCAGAAAAAACTCATTGCAACAGACATTAAAGAGCTCTATTAAAGAAACAAAATAGCTTTAGGGATTTCTGTGCTCATTTCATCATTGCTAATACTTAAGTTGGTATGATGAGAGAGGAAGATCAGAAGTGGTGGTCTGATGCTAAAAAGAAAAAAAACTGCTTTCATTCCAACCTTGACTGTCATTCCTTTCACGTAGATCTGGCAATCAGAAGGCAGATCTGTGAAAATGGCATTAATAGAATTGACTATATATTAAATTTTAGTGGGGTGCACATTTTCGATGCGTTTCACTTTACATGTATTGCTGATAGATGTGGTTTGTTGTGGATAAGAAATGTTCTTGATTAGATTTAGTTATCCTTAGGAAATAGAATTCTATTAGACTTCGTGCGTACTTGTATCAAAACTCTGCCCTTGTGTCAGCAAACTCATATAAAAATCAGAAGAATTGCATTAAAAATTACGTAAAGCATGAAAAACTTGTATGTGAACTAAACAATACACTGTCCTTTAGGCTGGGATAGCTCTAATAAAAGTAAAGTTCTTGGTACTTAAGGCATAATTGTTAAAGCATTATTTTGTTTTGTTATTTTTTACATAGTAACGTGGCTGAGAGAGGAATTGCATACTTGATAGAACTAGAATAATCAGACGATGCTATTAAAAATCAGTCTTGTTTAGATACCTTTTGATAAATATCAAATAACTCTGGGTCATTGGAGCACTGTTATAAAATATTTAGCCATCAGTTATTGTATGTTTTTTTGCAGGATGCAAAATGTGGATTCAAATTCTTGTTAGAATGAAGCCAGTTTGAAAAAAAACACCAAAACACAAAACTTCTAAAAGTGCAGATGAATGACATTAAACAGATCTTGAATTCAGTAACTTCCAGGTTATATGCTAGTTCTAGTTTATTTGGTTTTAACTTGTTGTTACTGATGAGGTAGTAAGCAACATTGAGATGGCAAGTAGGAAAGGTTCACAAACATCAGGTTCCCAGTCATTTAGGACAAGGAAGGGGACGTACATTAAAGACGTAATGATTCCTTTCCTTCCCTTGTGATAACAGGGATAGCAGTGTTTGCTATCCCTGTAGACTTTTGTGTCTTGAGAAGAATGAAGAGTCTTTAGAGGACAGGGTGATCTGTGATAATGGTGACTTTGGGGGGTGTTGGAATATGAGGACAAACAGCATCTCCAAAACCAGTGCTTGAGATCTTTCATCCTCCTGCTTTTCCTTCTATTCCTATTTAAGCCCATACATGAATTTTGAAGGTGGATGATGATAGGCTATCCAGAATGATCAACTTGAATAGGAAAGTGGGCAGTAATACCAAATTGTGTGCCATTCAGAGATGGAAATTGTGTGTTGAATTGAGTGTTAGGACATTAGGTATGGGAAAACTTAACTGTCTGCAAACATTTAAAATGTTGAAATGCCCTAGACATGGAGACTGTGATTAGGAGGTAGTGTAACTTGCAACTTGATTGTGTAGCTTTAGGTGAGGAAACTGGCAGTATTTCTGTGGTTTTATGAGATGAAATGCAGTTCTAGATTCAGACACTGAAATTAAGGTGTGTGCATAGCAGAGCTTACGCGTGAAGTGTTTGAGCTCACTGTGTCATTCTTGTATCTATCAAGAGATGCAGTGATTTAGTTGCTCTTTGGCCTTTTGCTGAGCTCAAATATATGTAGTCATAGAAATTTAGGTGCTTAAGTTTGAATGGAATCCCGTCTGGTACATTACTTATGACAAGCTGCATATTCAATCCATCTCCTGTTTTTCTTCTCCGTAGAAGGAGAATTATGGTATGTTCTCTTTCTATAGAGGTCTGTGAGATTCACAAATGAAAAGCTTTAAAGCTGTCTGAAAATAATAGAATGTATTCAGGGAGAAATTTGGATTCATGTAAAGAAGGCTCTTTTTCATGGTAAAATATTTAGCTTTGTGGTATTTTACTGGAGGATATAAGAAGAAACATCTGAAGAGCTTAAAAAATTGATCGAACACTGTCTTTGAGAAAACATAATAAATAAACATTCATGAGTAGAGGGTCTGTTTAATGAATTGGGATTTGTTTTGTGGTATTAATGAATATATAAAGAACCATGGAATTCTGCTACACATTTTTAGCACTAGTGTAAACTGCAGTGTCTTTTTGGGGATGTGAAAGGGCAAAAGGCAGGTTTGGGGAACAGCTGGTGCTTTGAGTTTTTTGCCAGTTGCTGAAATACTTGAAAAACCCAGCTTGTCTCTTACAATAGCCGTGCTCTGCTGTTGTTTGGAAAGATTGTACATTGTGTTTGTCATCTTTCATGTTTGTTACTGTACAGCTGCTTTCTACATGATTTTTTTAAAAGTCTGACTTGCCAAGGCAATGTCAGATTTCTTGCATGCTGTTTAACAGCTGTTGTCCAGAGGAAGGTGGTCTGAGTTGACCCTGAGAGTATTCCTGTGACTGCGGAGAAAGAAAACCAAAAATGCTTTGATTAGATCTTTCTGTACCCCACTTGCTTCTACAGCAAGAGCTACTGGGGTAAGTGCCTTCTAATTTTAAGACAAAAGGCAATTATGCAAGTAGTTGGGGGAAGGGAGGGAGAAAGAAGAAAAAGGGAGGTGGGAATACTGAGGGACTGTGTAAAATCTGAATTTTAATGGGTTGATCTAAGCTAATTGAAGCTTCTGATGTCCTTTCCTTTCAGAATGTGTGTGGATTAGAGTTACTGATGCCTGTAGGGTTTGGAGAATGGTGTCCATTTGTACTCAAGTCAGAGTTCAGTCCAGCTAGATGTTGCATGCAATCCATGTCCAATGAGGCATGCATGGATTTAGTGAGATGTTAAGTGACATTTCACCCTCTTAGTTTTTTTTTTCCCTTTTGACTCCTCCCACTTTTATGGTCTGATGCTAATGTCTCATATATTTCTACTGCAACCAGTTGTACGTATGCAATATAGCATCTTTCTAGGTCCTTCATCTCTTGTGCCAGAGGCAGCTGATGGTTTAAAGCCAGCTGTCAGGCATGGGTGGCTTCTCATAGGGAGTGGAGTTAGACCTGTTTATCCCAGTTGTAAGTCTCTGGCTTAATTGTGTACTTAGCTGGGCAAAAATGTGGGGAAAAAAAATAAATTATAAACTTATGATTGGGACCAATCTTCTGAACTGACACATTTTTTTGAAAGTAATAACTTATTTGCCTTAGATTTTTCATTTACTTGTGGATGGAAGGTGTGCTGGTTTTGGTTGGAGTAGAGTTAATTTTCTTCACAGTGGCTATTATGGGACTCTGTTTTGGATTTGTGCTGAACAGAGGGTTGATAATATATTTCTGAAAAGAGCTTACACAGAGTCAAGGCCTTTTCTGCTTTTTTGTACAGCTGTGCTGGTGAGGAAGTTGGGGGTGTATGGGGAGGTTGGGAGGAGATACAACTGGAACAGGTGATCCCAGCTAACCAAAGGGATATTGCAGACCAAATGACCTCATGCTCAGTATGTAAAGCTGGGGGAAGGAGGAGGACAGAGGGACATCTGCAGTGATGGTGTTTGTCTTCCCAAGTCACCATTACGCATGATGGGGCCCCTCTCTCCTGGAGATGGCTGAACACCTGCCTGACCAGGGGGAGCAGTGAATTAATTCCTTGATTTGCTTGTATGCGTGACTTTTGCTTTCCTGTCATTCCAACCCATGAGTTTTCTATCTTTGATTCTCTCCCTGATCCAGCTGGTGGGGGAGTGAGTGAGCGGCTGCACGGGCCTTGGTTGTTCTCTGGGGTTAAACAGGACGGAAGGGAAGAGAAGTTACTAAACCTCTGTGTTGTAAAATTGAACATAATTTACTAAATCCTAAAGTGTTTAACACAGTGACATCACAACAAATATCTTGTCTAGTAATAAACTGTGAGTGAATGTGACTCAGACAAGGTGGAAGATGAATGTGGAAAGCAGTGGAACTGCCATTGCAAATTGTTTTCTGCACCTATGAACACACTCCCCTCTGCCTTCTTGAGCCTCATGAAGACCCTGTAATTCACTGTCTTATTTTGTCTTGTTTTCTTGTTTAAACTCTCATTTACATAGGTTTTGAAATAAATTTAGCCTCACTTCTCATGAATTTTTCTTTAAGATTAAGTTCATCGGTTGTATGTGATGAAGAAAAGGGTGCTAGTGCTTGAGGGCACAAGCTTTTTACTTACTAATGGGTTAGTATCTGAATAGGTTTGTAAGTACTTGATTCAAATAGGTAAAGATTTTAAATTAGAAGAAACTTACTGCAATTGCAGAGGTTTTTTTCTTTTCCTCTGATCAGGAACAGGTAATGGATTGCTTAATTTGTTGCATATATTTACTCATCAGTGTTCAGTTTACCTTTTGGAATTAAACCTCATACTGAAATGAGGTAGCTACATAGTAATTTAAATCATGCATTCAAATACGAGAGTTGTTTATTTCTTCCTACCATCAGCCCAGCTGTGTGCTTTAACTTGCTCTGTAAAGAAATGAGATGTCTTGGGTTGGTCTGTCACCTCCTCTGGTAGCTCTTGAACCTACTGGACCATTTCATAAAGAATTGATGAGAAAACGAAAAGCTCAAACAGTGGCTGTATGTTTTCTTCAAATTAGCTTTTATAGGCAAGGAAGAACATTATGTGGAGAAGGGACTTAAATTAGAGCTCCTGGTGAAAAGCATTCTGGTTGTACTCAGTGTGTTTCAAGAGGTAGCAGACAATTAGCTGGGCACTGTGCAGCCAGCTTCTGAGTGGGCCCAGGGTGTTGCATGGGTTAGTGGGGAAAAGCTGGGTGAACTGCAAAAGGTAGGAGTGAAGCCAGCCTCTGAGAATGCTAGACAGAAAGCCATGGGGGAAACCAGGTATTCATTCTGGTGACCTTCCTGTATCAAAATTTAAGTAAGATGGGTTAAAAACTGAAACTGAGAGTATGAAAAATGTAGTAAAACATATTCCCAGTAATTCTCATAAAAACCAACCCCCCATGAACCCCAACCCTAGTAGAATGGTTGCCTTGTTCTCCAGAGAGTTTTACTGATGAATTGCAAATCAATATTAGTCCAAAAACCCCCAATTTTTATGAGATGTCAAATCACCCACCAGTATTTGGGGAATTCTATTGTTGCAGGGAGTCTTTTACACCTTTAACTTATATGACAGTGTTGTTCACGTTACAGAGAAAACAAAAATTTGTAGCTTGTGAGTTGAAGTAACACTAAGGTTTGGAATTGGCTGCTTTAGTGCTAATTTATGCTCCTATTAATTTACTTCTTACCAATTACGCTTTATGTGAAATGTAAATGTAAGAGTGAGAGAATTCCTCATAGTGATTTTCATTTAGTTGTTACAGTGCACTAGCCTGTTTGAAGTGTGATGCTGCTAGATGTTGGTAATAGTGACTTTCCAGTTTTGATCTATTTTTGTTCAAATTCTGAAAAGTGTCTATGTTGGATATTAAGTAGCATTTTGAAATGTATCTGTTTGTAGAGGAATACAAAATCATAGAAGAGAAAACTGGTTTTTTTCTGTGGGTTTTTTTTTTTTTTTTGTCGAATATAAAATTGTTCCTCCCTTATCTCTGATGTATGGTTTAAAATTTAACAAACTCAGCTGGGCTTAAATTCTGATGTATTCAAATAAACTGTCTCATATTAAGAGATGTAAAATATAATTTAAGATTACTGCTTAGAAGTCATGACCTTTTTCCTTCCTGACCTGTTATGAAATAGTCTTACAGTTAAATAATTTGCTTTTTGTTCATTGAAGTTGTTAAACTTTTAGAAATGTTCTTGAGAATAAAATATTCTAAACCTTTTGGGGGAAGTCATTACAAAAATTACTATGCAACATTTGAAAAACAAGAAGATCTTTTTAATTTAGTAATGTGATTTTAATTAGAGAAATTGAAAGGCTACTTTAATTGCTTTAGTTCGGTAAAAAATAAATTTTCAATTTAGTCTTTTCCAAGCGACCTTATGTCCTTGGTAACACTGTAACTTCTCATTCCATAAAATTTTGGTGCCGCATGATCTTTAAACAGAATATTATTCATAGGAAGTACATAGGACATTGAGTTGTTGGTGTTTAAAAAAAAAAAAAAAAGTTGTCAAATTGACTTATAAGTGTGTTAATGTCATTTTAAAGAAAACTGGTTTAGACATTTTGTAGCATATGCTTTCCTTGTTGGGGAATTTGGTCCCACTTGGGCATCCTTGCTCTCAAAGCTGGTCTTTGCAGGATAGTGTTTTCGATGCCATTGTGCCCTTTTGTGATGCTTTCATATCTCTTTTTGTACTTGTCTTCCCTGTCCTAGTTTCTTTTTTTTTTTTTCCAAGAAAGTTCCAACAACCTTAGTTGTCTCACATATGTCTTTCAGCATCTGGCATGTTCCCAAAAGCTGTTCAGAGTTGTGCCCATACCCCATTCACAGTGTCATTCAGCACCACCTGTGGAAAACCAGCTTCTTCCTTGTGTTGCAACTTCTTCCTTGTTGTCACCCAGCCTAATTTTGAGAGGCACTTGCCTTTATGTGTCAGATGGATTTATCGTTTTTACTGAAAACTGTCCGAGCGGGAGTGGGTCAGTGCCTGACGTAGTCAGGGGGCTGTAATGCGCAGTCAGTCTGGTGGTGACCAGCTTGCCCAGGCAGCAAGCCAGCTTGCTCCAGACAGCGATCTTTCCTGCCACTCCTGTGGGGACTGCCAGTTTTTTATAAATGCAAATGTGCCCTGAAGTCCAGTGACTCTTGTACTGCAGCACAAGTCTGTGTGTACAGTAAACCTTACACCAAGTCTAAGGCAAAGAACATACATTATCCACATGGCCTGTGTCCTCTGCTGATCTATAGTGCTTTTGTCATGTTCTGGCTGGAGAGCACAACTCCAGTGCCTTGGTAGGAATTCCACAGGAAAGCTGAGGCAAGCGCATTAAAAGAAGAAAAGTGAAGTATTTTTGGTAGGAAAAAACCTGAATGTGTGCTACACCGATTCATAACTCCTAATTTCATTTTTGTAAATATCATACGTATTTGTTTGTAAATTCCAGGTTGTGAGCCATGCCTTTGGTGAAAAGGAACATTGAACCACGGCATCTCTGCCGAGGAGCTCTGCCAGAGGGAATTACAAGTGAACTGGAATGCGTAACGAATAGTACCCTTGCTGCTATCATACGCCAGCTAAGCAGCTTAAGTAAGTATCTGTAACTTCCTGCAAGTATTTGATTCCTGATGAAAAACTGAAGAGATGAAAGGCTTTAAGATGACTTGTTTTAAATAGAAAAATTGCAATATAGGACATTACTGCTAATGTATTGTAATAATATTTTATTTCCTTGCTTTTATGCTATTATATATTTTGAAGTTTATTAAAGAAGAGAAAAACCCAGCCTTCCCGCTCCAAAAAAAATTCCAAAAACAATCCAGAAAAAAACCCTCAAACCAACAAGAAAACTGCAGTATAGAAAACCAGAATTTTTTCTGAGAGAAATCAGTATGAAAAACAAGACTAGCACTTGAGTTATTCTTGCCTTTTGATTCTGAAAGATGAAACCAGCAAACTCTTCTGCCTCTCGGCATTAAATGACACATTTGACTGAAATTTTAGTTTTTCTTAGTGTTTCTTGAGCCTTCTCTTTTATATATGTGTCTGCTCAATTCATATGAATGAAATTAAACACATTGAAAAAATGGCATTTGCTGAGCAAGCCTGGAGGCTCCTGTTGAGGCAAGCTAGCATCAGCTCCATACAGAGGAGCCTACACACTACACCTGTCAGGTGACACCAGCACTAGCAATTCTAGAAGCATGACTGGAGTGTTTGCAGGATGAACAATGTTTTTAATGAAAGAGCGAAGGGACTTTTTTTTTTTTTTTTTTTTAAATGTGTTTAACAATCAACAGCTGTTGTTTGTGCTGATAACTCCAGTTCTAGAAGAGAAATTACTGCTTCATCAGTTGCTTCAGTTTGTAAATGGAATTGGTTTAGGAATGTAACAGTCTGTATGGAGCTTAGACCATGGGTGCCACTAAGTCTGGTATTCAGTTTATGATGATAGGAAAAAGCCTGTGCTGAGGGAAAGAGAACAAGGAAGACACCATTTCCTGTTCCCAGTAGTCACTGATTTAGGGATTTTTCTGAGCTGGAGGTCCACCTGAATCATCCTATATAATAAGCATTTGTAAAAGTATCATCTGTGGCATTGCTTAAAGTTGTTGAAAAAGGTATTGCACTTCAGATCATATTCAAAACAGACTTTTTCTGTTTTATCATTATTTCCCTACAAATTTAAACAATTTTGATTGTTGCTAAACATTGTTATTTTCAGAGTTTCCAAGTGATTCTCTGATCTTTCTTGAGCTGCTGATTTAGTGGTTAATGTTATTTATAGTTAATTTGTGTTTGCATTGTCATTGTTTCATTTACTGTTTTCTCAGGCAGTTGCTTAGCGTTGACATCCATAAGTTTCAGAAGTGAGAAGAATGGCTACTACTCTTAATTACATTAAAGGATACCTGAAAAGACCTCATTTTGGTACTGCACAATGGTTGCCCAAGTGTGGGTAATACACTCGTCTGACTTCCTAGGAATGTCTACCTTTCATTTATCCAGATTTGATTTTGGGGCTACTCTGTTACATTGCGTGTTCAGATCCTCTTATGCTTGTTGCTGAGAAACTGGCTCCTTATATCCATATCCTGAAATTTTCCCTTAGTGGATCTTTCAGGTCATCAAAAGTCTTTGTAGACAGGCCCTAAAGTTCTGTTACTGTCAAGTTAAAGATCTATGCAAATAAATTATATGTCCTTTGTTTTAGCAGATGAATACATGGTATTTAATGAGTGAAAAGTACCACCAGCCTCATCCACAGCCTAAAATCTGTCAAGTTTGCAGTTTTTTCTGCAGGCAGTGTTTGTTTTGCCTGTGTTTCAAGCCAACTGGGAGCAAGGAAATGATCATAGAAAAAAGCTGTGCTGGAGCTGAAGCAGTATGTCCTGCTGACAGCATCAGAGCTTGTTGGTGTTCCCACAGCTTGAGGCATAGAGAGAGCAAGCACAGGTCTATCTCGCAGTCACACTGTTTTTTTAATGTTGCACTGTGAGTTCAGTGTGGATTTTAAAAACTGGCAGGTCTGTGCTGTTGCATACAAATTTGGCTTACTTCTGCCTCTGCTCTTTTCAGGAGACATGAACAAGTTCCTATCCAATGGGAATGTGCTCTCAGGAGAGCTTTTTTTCTATTATGTTTTCAGATTAGGGTTCATTTCCAGCCAGCTGGCTTGGAGCACAGGCAGACTGAGCAGCATTCTGTATGAAACTGTGCACTTTTGTATAAGGCAAAATGTTGTCCAGGGACTCGCCTCCACTTGGGAGGAGAGAATCTACTGGTGTGGGGAGGACTGGGAGCATTTGCAGCCTGTACCTGTAAAGTACTGTGATGCTTTCCCTACTAAACATAATTGCAGAACAACGACTTGAACGCTTTCACAAAATACTCCCATGCTTTTGGCAGTGGAGTTTGGTCTGATGATTGCAGGACTTTAGCCAGTGAAAAGGCTGCTTTCTGCAACAGGATCTCTTGCAGGATGGTTTTGTTGCCGAGTTTTTGTTGGGCTTTTTTTTTTTAATATATGGGAAAAAATCATAAATAACATCTGATTGTTGTTGAAGACTAAATATAAAAACTGCATGCCCTCCTTCATTGAACTTTTCTTATTTAGACTCTAGTCTATACATTAATAATACTCACTGTGTTTCAAGTTGCATTACCATTTGAAATAATTTCTTTCCTTTGTGTGAGTCTTGAAATATTTTGTATTTTTCATATTTCTGACTTCTCTCTTCATTCAGATACTGCCTGTCAGGTTGAAATCTTACCTACATGGGTATAAACCATCTGTACACAAGTACAGAGCTGCTTTCTTTGACCCATGTTCAAGTGATACCAAACAGTTTTTGCTGTACAATATAAAATGGAGGAAGTGTCATCTGCAGAGACTTGAAAGACTTTTTCTTTCATTCAGAGAACAGTATCTACCAGCTTGCCTCCTAGTATTTTCTTGGGTAGATTGGCAGTTGGCTCAGAGTTTCATTGGTTTTCATGCAGGCCTGAGCACGCTGCAACCAGCTTTGTGTCACTCTGCTCATTACTACTGCTGAATCAGGCTGGGTTGGCAAGTTAGCTGTTTTGCCATTTAATGTCATGCTAGAGGTACTGTGAGAAAGCAGATGAGAATCAAGACCTAGTCGGTAACAACCTACCACTTTTGCTCGTTTAAAAAAAGGTGACGGGGAAAGCATGAGTCTTAATGTTTCTAGTCAATCCAGTTAGCAATGGGTGAGTGGAATCACTGTCTTCTGCTCCATGTTGTGATAAAATGAGCGTGTCCTGGACGAATTCCAGTTTGCAGAACAGCACATAGTTCCATGGGACATAGCTTCAGTCCTTACCTAGGACCCTGAGGAGAACAGTAATGCAGTGCTGGCTCCTTTTAGAGCAACCCTAGTGTCATCTTCATTCCAGTGTCTGACAGAATCAGTTAGGCTGGAAAAAACCTTTGAGATAGAGTCCAACCTGTGACCGAACATTGCCGTGTCAACTAGACCATGTCCAGTCTTTCCTTAAATGCCTCCAGACACCAGAATGCCAAGTGAAGTTACCTTTTTGCTTTCATAATGCGTGTTCTTGGCATGAAACATGGTAACCTTTCTAAAGCACTCAGTCTTTCTTTTGAGCGCGTTGTCCCCAGTACTTGTGTTGTGGAGTAAGGAATGCAGAGTAAAGCTGTACTTTTCAGACTCTAATTATGTGAATGGAAACTGCATAGAGTAATCAACACATTGAGTTTCCAGTCTTCAGACAAACCAGCATCATTGTTGAATCCCTCTTGTGGTACAGCACTGAGCATGTTGACTGTTGACAAAAGATACCTTTAGGGCAATGTGTTCAATGTGTTACTGCACACTTTTTTATGCAGTATTTGAAAATCAATTGTAATTAATTCAGGTAATGTTTAATCTCCGCTAGAGATGTTATATACTGGTGTAACAAGATAATATTTCATGTAATTACTGTAGAACTTGAGTAGAGAGTATTATTTAAATTATTTGTGAAATTCTGATCTGCAGAAATGTCTCAAAGCTTGGAAATTTATTTTGTGAACAATGAAATATACAACTCTATGAAGATGACCTGTGAAAGTGCTAGAAAAAGGTACTTTGGTTAATTGACATTAAAAACTATGGAGAGCAGGGATTTGCTGAGGCAGAATCATGACTAAATTTACCCGCAACTACTTCAGTGGTTGGAGGGACTCTTAAAAAGAAAGACTGCATGATTTCTTTGATGGATTTTTAAATTATTTTATACCTAATGTTTTTAAACCACTGTCTTATAGTACTAAAATCAGCTCTTAAGTTGAAAGATACATGATTGTATTTCAGATAGGTTGGGGTTTTTTCCCCTGCTTGTTTCTGTTTTGTTAAAAATCTAATTTAAAAGATGGTAACATAAGTGTCTTCGTTTTCTAAAATGTGCTGCATCAGTACAACATGTCTGTAAATCAGGACAGCATGTCTAATATTGTTTACCACGTCACTGTTTCCACAGATTGACAACCTGTCTTTCACGTGTTTCAGGGTAACAAGTGTTGAAAAAAAATAATATTAACAGAAGTATGTTCCTACTTTGGTTTCTGAAAAAGAACTGATAAGCACCCATCTCCTTGACTTCTCTAGAGGTGATGTGTTTAATCCTAGAATATGGCAGTCCTCCCTCAGCAGACTGATTTCAATATATTAACATAAACTAACATCCATTAAAATTGATTGAGCTCTGAATACTGGTGGCTGAAGAATGTAATAACTGCTTTATTTAGCTGAAGACTTGAAAAGCTTATTTGTTCCACCTCTTAGAATAACATCTTCATTTGGAGCAAGTAAATCAAATGGGAATTATAATTGAATCTCAACTAGCTGCTGGGAAGCACTGAGAGAACGCTTTTAGTGTGAAGGTGGTTGAACAGTGGCACAGGTAGCCCAGAGGAGTTGTGGAGCCTCTATTCTTAGAAGTGTTCCAAACCCTGCTGGTCAGAGTTTGGAATTGCCAGCTGGGCAAGCTGCTCTGTCCGATCGTGCTTTGAGGAGGGAACGGAGCTAGAAGATTTTCCACAATGCTGTTGTTGTGTGACTTCTGTTTTGGAGGGGGAGGAGATTAGGAACGGGTAGACAGCACACCTTGCCTATCCACCTTCCATAGGCGTGTGAAGCAGAGTTTGGATACAACAGAATACCTCATGTTTTGGGTTAGTTATTGGCTGATCTTACACTTAGGGAAGAAATCTGTTACTGGTAAAGTCCTTTGTTTGAAGGCAATCACATTAATTTTTTTTTTTCTGTAATTCACGAACAGTGTTTTTTAAAATTGTTTTAGTGTAGTTGTCATTCCTTTCCCCCAAGGGGGAGAATGATCCAAGAAAGGGGCAGATCCTCTTGTATTCCTAAGTGTGACTATTTTATTTTATTTTATTTTTTCCACAGTGATGCTCACAGGATGGAATCTTAATTGAAGTTTTCATTATGTTTGTACTTTTCTTTGTGAAGTATTAAGGTTGGTTATAGGACCCAACTTAAAATGCCAATAATTACTGTTCTTTTGGCAACCACTGTCATTTAAGAGGTGGTTAATACATATTCCATGTTGTTCAAAATACTAGGCAATATTTCACTTTCCCCCTCCCATTTCTACTCTTTGGACTCTTCTTGATACAGGTCATGATTAATTCAGATGCATGGTTTTAAAATGTATTTTTATTTTAAAAGCATGGTTAAACACAGGAAGCAGGATTTTCCTTTCTTCAAGGAGAACTGATGGAGTGGAGATGTCTTGAGGGGTTTTGGCTACAGAAATTGTAGAGGGGGGGATCTTAAAAGGAAGCAGCAGTACCTGTGTAGGAGGGACTGTAGTTCAGTGAGGACAATACTTTTAGGTGGAAACTGAAATTTGTAGGGAAAGGTCTGGGGCAGGAGGTAATAAAGTGGGAATCTGGAACCACTGATCCAGAGTGGTGGAGAACTTTGGGTTGGAGCGTGAAGAGAGTCAAACTGTAGATGAGGGTGCCTAGTACTTTGGGAGGTCTGGGAAAGGAATTGGCATGCACAAGGGTCTGTGGACTAAGGGGCATTGGGTTTATCATAAGGCACCTCCTGTCCACTTTTAGGGTAGGACCTGAATCTGCACATCTGAACTGGACTACCCACTCTCATAGTGATTGAGAGCATACTTCAGCTGAAAGGGAGGGCAAAAGGTGGTAAACTCCACTTTTGTGGTGCATCAATTCCAGTGTGGCTGTGGGTAAATGTCAGTGCCATTTTTCTATATCAAATGACTCCAGGGATAGCAACATCTATGCAGCGAGCATTTGTAGAGGTAAGTGGACTGCCCTGCAGGAGGATCCTGGGTTTCATCTGTTTTTACTCAGCCTTCATTTTGATGCTCGCTTGGCTGGCTTGTGCTTATAATTAAATCTTAAGGACTATGTATTGTAGGATCTTAATTCCAAAATTTACTTCAATGATCAGTTTTCTGACAGTTGGCAGTAGTTCAGCTGCATAAGGATTAAAATTTGTTAGTCTCTCTTGTTGTTTGTTTTTGTTTTTGTTTTTTTGTTTGGTTTATTTATTTATTTATTTAAAGTAGAAGACTAAACAAGGTGTCCAGGAGAATAGACTTCAGGCAGCATTTATGGTGCACTTTGAAATTTTTGTACAAATCTGTTAGCCAAAATTTTGCTGTATGACAAACTGTGCTGTTATAATCTTATAGCTACTGTTCTATTTATAACTTCATGATATTGAAGCCTTTTGTCTTGTGTTTTGTAAGCCACTAGCAAAGGGATTTCCCTGTCTATTTTCTTATGCAGGCAAACATGCTGAAGACATATTTGGTGAATTGTTTAATGAGGCCAACAGCTTCTACATCAGAGCAAATTCCCTTCAAGACAGAATTGATCGCCTTGCTGTCAAAGTTACCCAGCTGGATTCAACAGTAGAAGAGGGTAGGTAATTGCATGCAAGCATTGAGCCAGAAGTGATGTCGACAAGACCACAGTATTTAATTACACAACAATCTTTGTCTTTTCAAAGTAATCCTGTAACAATATTTCATCTTGTTGTCTCAGTAAGGCAAGCTGGGAAAAATCATGTTAGCAGAGCAAGGAAAAGTATTCTTGAGTCTTGTAACTGCTGTCATTAGTGTTACTTCAATAGGCCCTTGTAGTAATGGAGCCACTAAGCTGCCTTTTTCACAGGGAAAACTTTTAGTTTGTGAGTATAGTAAATCTGAAATGAGTAAATCTGGTCCTTACTGGAAATAAGTCAGAATACTGGAAAAAGTTTGAGACAGTAGATCTATTTATTTTAGAGTGGGGTAGTCACAAACTACATTAATAATGTCTGTTCTGTGGTCATCTAAGATCTCATAATACTCTTTATCTAAACAAGGCACTCTGCATCAACTAGGTGAAATTCTCCAATGGGTTCTAGTCACTAGAAGCAGTGTTTCCGTAAAAAAATTGTAATAGCTGCACTTACATGTTTTGTCATTCACTTCATAAATACACAGTGAAAACAAAGGATTTAAGTAACATCATTATATTGTTTGAAAGCATTTATTTGGGCTGGTAAAACATGGGTTTTTGTCTAGCTCTAAAAGCTGTAACGTGCATCTTTGCTTTCGTGCTTCATGTCTGAGCCAGCCACTTCATGTATTCCCTGTTAGAAGATTCCTGACATTTAAGCTTGTTACATCAGGATGATAGTGAAATATTTACTCAGTAGCAGTTAATGCTACTTGTGATATATTTAATAGTACTATTTATATGATTCATATACAGTACTTGCCATTTATATTTGTGTAGTTTATATATTTAATATTCTCATTAGTGGTAATAATAAATGTTAGTGTTGGTATTTACTAATGTAATATTAAGCCTTCCATTTTAACTGGTTACTGTCTGAAAATTATTACATGTCTGAATGTTTTTTCTGATTTTGGAACACATTAACTGTTAGAGTATCACAGTTGATCACAGATGCCCAGAGAAGTTATGGATGCCCCATTCCTGGAAATGTTCAAGGGCAGATTGGATGGAGCTTTGAGCAACCTGGTCCAGTGAAAGGTGTCCCTGCCTGTGGCAGGGAGGGTTGGAACTAGATGATTTTTAATGTTCCTTCCAACGCAAACCACTCTGTGATTCTATGATATAAGCATCTTTATTTTGCTGTCTTAGGTGTCAAGAGCTAGATGGGAACATTAAGCTATTATGGAATCGTTATTTAGCTTAGTTTTAAAGGCATGTTGTGATGGTAATGTGAGCAAACTAAATGATATTCATATACTGCAATTGTTCCGTGCTGAGGTGGATGGTGTCTGTCTTCATGACTTTTAGGTCTAACATTTTTTGGAAACTCAGTCCTCATCAGAGGTTGTTTTTGCTCTTATTTCTGTTTTTTAATGTCTCATTTGTGCTATGCAATACCTCCTGGCTAGTTTCCAGATTTTGGAGAGTAATTAAAAGCAATATTGGAAGGGGAGATGACTAGTGTATGGACTGAGAATTTAATCAGTGTTTATTTTAAATTGACAGCAGTTATTACTCTTTCATTGCTAATCATGTTTCAGATTAATAAGCTATATATACCAACTGCTGTCACTTTAATGCCAGTAGTAAATTTCATTAGCTATTTTGTAGAAGTTGAAGTCTATAACAATTCATTGCATTGTCAATAATACTCAGCATATTTCTGGATAGATTAGGCATTTAGTAGAATTTAAAAATCCCTTTAGATTAAAGTGCATCACTGATTTCTTACATTCTTAGCTATAACTAACAGGGTATATATAAAAATGGAATATATATAATACTACAGTTGAAAAAAATTCAAGTAACTGACGTTAAGTTTTCAAAAGCATATGAATAACTAATGCTGAAAAAGCCCTAGACAAAAGGGGATTTTTACTCTCTTGAATGTCTTCCTCTAAACAAGAATATACCAATTCAGATATATACATCTGAAAAAATTGCCTGAAATACCTTACCCTGTACATATAGGCAGGTTTAAATAGAAAGAACTTTCAGAAATTGTTTTGATACTTCAGGTGATGTGGATGGGGGAATGACTATTTGAAATTAAATACTCTGTTCTTAATTTTCTGCTCTTGTAAAAGTTATGAAACAGTCTAAGTGGTCTCAGAGTGAGAAGCAAGACCTCAGCACAGATATCAAAAATAGTTGGGTGGAGAAGGCTGAGTGGGACTTGGTTTCCATCATGGCAAAGGATAAAAGTGTCAGACTTCATGCCTTCCTGGTTTCTCAGCTCATCAGTATACTACATTTTTGGTCAATACTGTTAAGCTACTATGTGAAATTCCTCACAATTTGTTCTTGAGGCACTCTTAGCAAGCAGTTGCCTCAATTCAAGAAGTGGTTAATGCCATTGTAGACTACTCAGTGAAGACTTTGGCATTCTGTTCAGCTGCAGTGAAAAACCCGTATTTCAGGTTGCTTAAAAGTGGAGAATGATGTGGAGAGCTTACTGCCACTCTTAAATTGTGATTAGCATTAACTGGATCTTTTTAGCAATGGTCTTTTTATCTCATGGAAACTTGTATTCAGAGTGAAAGAAAGCCTTGCTAAAAATGACAGGAACAGTTAAAAGCAACTGAAGTCTTTCATTTGAAAAGAAAAACTGAAAAGGCTAATATTGCTTTCCCTGGAACTGTGTATATGAAAAGATTAAATGGAAGTATGTAACTGGACTGTACAAAGAACAGTGTTTCCCTATAGAGAGACATGAGAAAAACTTACAATCAAGGAGTGTTCAATTATATGGACAAACTTTGGAGCTGAAAGATGGTTAGAAGTGTGGATCTCCTTCTCACAGGAAGTTGTTCCAGCCATAATTTAATCATGTGTAGAATGGGGTTGAATGTTTATGGATACCATATGTAATTATAAAACATGCTGTGTCAGGAATACCAGACCTTGCATTTCAGTCTCAAAGCCAGTCTTTCTGCTGTTAGAACTCCAGGAAAAAGCTTATGAAAAGGAGAAATCATTGGACATCTGCATGTGATGACAGCATTCTTGCATCATATTCCAAGACAAAGTCCATATTCCCATTATTTTAAGTGAGGTTCTAGACCAAGTGGAACTTAAATCTGTTTTATTCTGGCAATTCTTACATGCCTTTAAGCTTAAATATCATGATTATCCACTAAAGAAAAATTTTCTATATCTTGCAGAAAATATTTTAAATAGCTGGTGAAAAATGGGTGGGTTTTTATCCACTTCTGTTAATTTCAGACCTGTGGTAAATGTAATTTTTTTTCTAACAGTATCCTTACAGGATATCAACATGAAAAAAGCATTCAAGAGCTCAACAATTCAAGATCAGCAGGTAGTTTCAAAGAACAGCATTCCAAACCCAGTGGCTGATATTTATAATCAGAGTGACAAACCACCACCTCTGAATATTCTTTCACCTTATAGGTAAGGAAATATTGATTGATTATGTTCTTGTACTTTGCCCTTCATCTGCTACTTGTATGCAGAGAATCATTACAGCAGAAGGGAGACGCTGTATTGATTATGGAGGTCTGATTTTTTGGGAACTTCCCTGTTTATGGAAACAAAAATTGCCATTGCCACACTTAAAATCATAAGTCGTACCTAACAAAAATCATCATATTTCAACATAAATCTTACATGGCAGCGCAGGATCAGAGAGCAAGGGCCACTGATTATATAGAAAGTGAAAATAAATAATATACTAAACTGATTTCTTTGGTGGCTTTATCCAGAAAGCTGGATTTGTTGCTTTTGCCTTCCCACTATTGTACACACACAGTCTGTACCTTTTCCTGGTAACTTACTGGTAAGTAGAAGAGCAATAAGTACATTTTCTGTTTTCCTGTTTCCTTTAAATTATTATTGTTCATGAAATTAGTGCAGTTTGTCCACCTGAAGGGTTGTGGACAATGGGGATTTACTGTGTTCTTCAATTTTTGAGAGGTACTAGGTTGTGAGGTGTCTGTATAAAACAGGCACTCAATCTGCAGTAAATTATTTGGATTTTTTTTAAGACTGATATATCAGAGCATTTGCAGTGTATTTCATTTTTAAGAGCTTTTAATTGGAAGGTAAATTTGTTGGATCTATAATTGAAGGATGTGGTTTCTACCACTCCTACAGATGATGGTGGTATTTGTTTATAGGCATCCAGTTAGTAAGAGTTGTTATTGATCAGCTTGAAGCTAGGATGGTAGTCAAAGAAAGGTTTTGTGGGTTTAAAGCATACTAATTCATGTATTCTTAGCTTTTCTTCTGCTGTGTTTCCAGGGATGATAAAAAAGATGGATTGAAGTTTTATACTGATCCTTCCTATTTTTTTGATCTATGGAAAGAAAAAATGTTACAGGATACTGAAGATAAGCGAAAAGAAAAGAGGAGACAAAAGGTAAAAGCAGAAACATAATAGCACATGTGTGCATTGCAATTTTGTGTATGGTTGTCCAGGCATAAAAATTTCCAGGTAATACTTAGTTTCTGTGAGTGGAAAGACTATTCCTTTTTATGTGTGGCTGTAGATTCACTTGGTTCCATTTTTACAACTTAAACCGTTTATTTTAAGAAGGCAGCAAATTGAATTTTAGGAGTACTGTGGTTATCTTCCAAGATACTTTCTTGAGTCCTTTTCCAGTATCTGCTTATTAGTACTAAGCAAAATGGCCCTGTTGTGCTTCGGAAAAAGACACTGTGATGGGAGGGGGAAGGAATTTGAATTCTACTTTATTTTCATAGTTCCTTATCTAGCAGCATCAACGCCTGTAGCAAAACAAGAGCTTATCCAGAAATAAATAATTTTGTTGTTAGTAAGATGATAATATGCAGTGAAATTATTCTGTGGTTCAGCAGCAAGAGAACATTAATTTTACAAGTAATAGTCTTTGTTTCCTCTAAGTTTGAAAACCAGCAAAAAAGAACCTTTTTCATAGAAAAGATTCTGATGCAATCAAGATTTTCTTAATAGATTTTAGTTGTGAATGGAGAAATGAGTTGCTATTCCTGCAGCTTCTTTGTGGTCAATATTTTTATCAAATTGGAGAGCTTTAAGATTTTTGAAGATAATTCTGGGAAAAAAAAAGAAAAAAAGAAAGTTTGAAGCAATGACTACTGCTTATGTTACCTGGCAGAAGGTGCTTTTATAGATAGGTTCAATGAGAGATAAGGGATTTAAAATAAAAGGAATCTGAACAAGATATTCTGAGTGCTCAGAGGAAACAGAAGGAAGCTACTCAGTTTTCAGTACATGTGTGCATATATCCACATACCTGTCTATATGTACACATGTGCACATGCATCATCCATATTAGCATACCTATCTATACATGTCTGTGTGTAAGCAGGTACCATCATATATGTATAATCATGTATAATACACTTGTGTACAGAATGTCTAATACATGAATATGCATGTGAACGTATATTTGTATATACACATCACATGTGTAATATGACTGTGTGTGTATATGCCAGTATATGTGGTACCTGCTTAGAAATAAAATTGTAGGGCGTGACTGGAAAACTTTACTATTCCGTTAGAATAAATTCTGTTAATTCCTTCTTCATTTTTCTGGACAATACTTTTCTGACTACAGAACTTTTAAATGGAACATGAAGACTTGGTTTAACTGGAACACTTAGTGAATTCATGGTTTTAAAAATTCTGGAAGAAATAAATCAGGTCTCCCTGTTATGATTACAAGTCAAAATGTTTTCTGTTTTGGCAGGTGTATCAGTATTGAAATATTGAATAGAATTGAAAAAGCTTGATAGGCATCTTCAATAGTTACTGACTATAGCAAAGTATTACAAGGTATTCAGTTGGTTATTTGCGTGGTTGTATAGAAATGCAATTTCTATACAATGCAAGATTATATTCCCACTGTATTCTCAGTATGATTAGTCACAGAGCTGATGGAAAGCCTGGAAGTAATTAAAGCAGCTGTCATTCTGTGGTCTAGTTGGTGGTTTTTTTAGATTTCATTCAGTATTTCTTTATGAAAAATATATAGCGATAATAGCAGCCTTTGGGGTTTTTCCTCCTACCTTTTTCCCTCAAGTTTAGATATTTTCCCTATGGAGGGGAAGAAAAAGAAACTATCAACTGCTAGCTTTTTTATTCTGATTTCCTATTAAAAAGGAAAAAATACAAATGCTTTCATAAAAAATTATAGTATCGCTTGGGTTTTTTTTATTCCTTTAGAGAGATTTCTACAAAACTATATTTATAAATTTGCTCTTAGACTTTATCTAAGGCAACACATCCCACTTATCTCCATCCATGGTATATCTTTTTTTTTAGATTTTAATTGCCCTATTACAATCTACAAACCAAATGTAAATGTGCTCAATTCCAATTGTGTAGGATTATAGCCATACATCACAGAAGTGCACCTTGATAAATTCTAGCTGAAGTGCTGTTTGATTTGATTCAATATATAACAAATCTGACAGAAGGAAGCAGCATAGATTTGAGTTTGCATGGATGGCATTTACTTTGTGATAGGAAGAAATCTCAGTTCTGGCTTTCCAGAAGCTGCTGTGCAAATGAGCATTTCATCATCTGGACTCTTCAGAGAGCTAGAGGGTTTTGGTGAGATGTCTTGCAAGCACACTTTGTTCCACAGGTTGCTGAATCAGCTGTCCTTTTTCTTTTGTTCTTGTCCTTATGATAGCAGTGACCAGGAATGAATCTAGAGCATTGTTTAACAATTTGGTAGCTGAACTTGTATTTTAAATCTGTTAAGTGAGAATTCTTTACTCAATTCGTGCTTTACAGAAGCACAAAACTTGAAAGTTGTTGAGAAACTCTGCAGGTGAAATAAATATTATATATTGTTTAGCAAATTACAAGCTAGACATCCGAATGCCATCCTGCTCAGCTGACTAAATGTAGTTGGTTTTTAGCCTCAATTTTTCAGGTGCTCAGTGAAGTCTGAGAGTAGTCCTTGCACCAGAGAATCGGTTTTCCAATATTATTTTGGTAATTTGCTTTAAGTACTTGAGCTGTTGCAGCCAGAGGTTTCTGAAGAGTTTCATTTTCCTGCCTCCAAATATCATGTTATTGTTTCTGTATTCAGTTTAATTGAAAAAATCGAGAGGCTCCTTCAGGTGAAACTTTTTCTCTGAAAAAACCTGTAATTTAAGTTCTTTAAGTTTAAAATCTATGTAGGCTGCTTTTTTTATATTTGGTGTATCAGTGTCTAAGAGTTCAATGTAGTTTTGACTTTTGAATGTATCAGTAGTGTTCTGAGTTGAATGACTGTATTAGAGGCCAGTTGTTAACTCTTGATTAACCAAAGGAAAGTTGTTTTAATTTGCTTTTTATTGTTATCCCTTTTTTTCTGAGACTAATTAGCTATTTAAACAAGTAAAAATCTTTAAATTTGGAAGGCTTGTATTTCAGAAATTGTTCTTGGTTACTTGTGTTTTGATAGGATCTTATAAATTTGAGGCCAGGAAAATACTCTGTGTTATTATGCTTCCAGTTTTTTGAAAGTATTGCAAATACTTGCTGAAGGTACTTTCTGTTACTAGCTCCAATTCTTTACTAAGACGCTTGAAATATCGCTTCCTAATTCTTGATGCAAGTATCAAACTTTAACTCAGCCGTGTTTGAAGGCTCTAATATGTTTGTGTTTGCTGAAATAATTTCCTACCACCAGCTGAATGATGCACCTCTTTTCTGGCTTAACCTACAGCACCCACTTGTCTGCCACAGCTTCTGTTTAAAGGAAGTAATACTTCTTAATATTACTTAACTTTCCTAATACATATTTCTGACTGCAGTTATTTTGAAAGGCTTCAGCTCCCCTAGAACTCTCTTGTTATTGCCCTGGGTACTAAAACCAGAGCGATCCCCATTGTTTGGCAAGGTAATGAAACTGCTACTGGAACAACTTAATACTACTGTTAGAGGTATATGTAGCATTGTCAGCTGCTAGGAATAGGCCTGCCCCACTGTTTTGTAAGAAATTTAAACGTTTGAGATGTATTTATGTAATATTTAATCCAAAAATCAGTACCAGTAGGGTTTAGTACTGCTTTAGTAAAAAGTATTCCAGCATATTTATTTTTTAGCACACTTATAGATGCTGGTTTGGAACAACCTATCGAACTGAAATCTGATCCAATAAAAATAAACTAAGCTTTGTGTTTATTTTATGTTGTTTACACATGTATTTATCTTTTCATAAAAAAACACAGTGGTCTCTTAATTACCTATTTAAAAGTTTGTTTTAATGTGTAAGTAGTCATGCAAGTACTCCTGATGGTATAGGAATTGTGTCAAAATTGTATTCTGAGTAGCATCATAGATCGGTCAAAAGGTGGATACATACTTCATCTGGAACTCTGCAAGAAATATGTAGCTGTCACCCTTAGGTGAAGTTATTGTTCTGTAAGAAGATAAGAACTAAGTGTTTCTGGTGAACCAAACGGCTTACTTGTACTTTCCTCTCAAATGTGGCGTGATTTAGTAACAAAATCTTAAAAAATTAATCAGGATGAAAGTCACAAATTAAAAAAAAAATTGCAGGAAACAATTGAAAAAGACAGGTGTAAAGCCTTTAACAAGAATATATTCAACCACAGCAATAAACAAAACTTGATGTATTTAAAATAAAGTATGAACGAATCTGTCTCCTTTCTGCTCCAAATCCTGTAATAGGAAAATTTGATATGAAAAAGTGGTACTAAACATAACATGGATAAAATAAGTGTGTGATTCTAAAATGTTTGTGGAGGAGAAAGATTTTAGGAGAATTAATTAAAAACCAGGATGATGATCTTTACTTAACATGAATCAGACCAAAAATCTATCTACTGCAGGGATGAGCAAGTGTTGTTTGTAACTTTTGGATGCTGAACTTTAAAAAGACTTTTCTCCATCGTTATTAAATGTTGGCAGGATCAGCAGGTCCCTCATGCAGACATGCACGAATGGAGATCCAAAACAAGGGCAATTAATCCATTTGATAGTTTTTTGTTAGTTATGTAATGCCAAATACATTATTTCAGAATTATTTGCTCAGTACTGTTTTACAGTTGGAGTAAAACACCTGTGTGCATCTGTGGTCTACTTTTTGTTGAGCTAGCCTTCTGGCTATTATCCCTTACTTTGAAGGTGTTGATTCCACAATGAAGGCTTGCATATCAGTGTTTGACCAAACTCTTCTGTCAATACAATTGATTATGACTGCATTCTCAGGATAGCAATATAATTATTTCCTGAGAAACTATTTTTCTAGCAGCCGAAAGCCTAATACCAACTTACTAATAGATAAAAGAGGTTTAAGCTTTTAATGAATTAGTATTCTAAGATGTGGGATCTAGAGCTGATTAAAAAAAACATCTAGGGCCCTCATAAATACTGAGAAAAGGAGTAGCACATAAGCACTCTTCTCAGTTTGGATTGAGCAAACTTGTTCAGTTTTTGTGTTGAAGCACCAATATGGTTTTTATATTCCTACTGAGTAGGCAGAAGTAAATGAGGACAACATTTCAGAGGTGTCAAAGCGTTGAGACTCGATATTAGGAGATCTTACTGTCAGTATGGTAAAGATAAATAAATAAGATAAATATTGACATTGGTTAAGCCTGATATAATATTGAAAAATTTAAATAACTAAGCAGAGTGATTTGTCATGAAGCTATCATGCTGTAATATATTGCTGGCCTGAATAGCAGAGAGAAGTAGTGTAATTCATTTTTATATAAGATAATGGGAAACAATGATGAGGAAAAACTAGGAAGAATTACGGTAGTTAATCAGATCTAAGAAGGGAGAGGAAGTTAAAACAAACAAAAATCCTTTCACATAGACTACGGAATAGGAAAAGGTGTCCAGTTTTTCCATACTTCCCCAGGCCTTGGTCACTGTGACCATAACAAAGAGCCAGAGTAGCCCTGAGTGTATTTAACATATTCTCAGAAGTCCGATTTGCAGGAGGTGAAAATTAGAAGTGCTTCAGGATTTATCTAAATAAAAGACTTGATATCTGAAGAAGTTAAACTTTCTGGCTTTTAAAATCAGTCATATTTCTGTATTAGGAAACAAGTAGGTTGATATCATTTTAGCACGTGCATCCTACAGAAGAAGGACAAATCAGCATGTCTTGCTACTAATGAGGTTCATAGCATAAGGAGGTATTTTCAGTGCAGAGAAATTTTATGAAGACTTGGCTTCATCTGTAAATCTGGTCTTGTTTTCATGCACTCTAACTGCATTTTAACCAGCTTTTTTCCTTTCCTTTTTTTCTCTCTTTGCATGCTTTATTTCTTTTGTTCGAATATTAGGAGCAAAAACGTATAGATGGCACCACCCGTGAGGTGAAAAAGGTTAGAAAAGCCAGGAACAGACGCCAGGAGTGGAATATGATGGCATATGACAAAGAGCTTAGACCTGACAACAGGTTGTCTCAAAGTGTGTACCATGGAGCATCTTCCGAGGGATCACTGTCCCCAGATACTAGGTCTGTTTACAGCAAAGCTGTTTGTTATACCACAGTTGTATGTTCAGAAATACTGAGTAGAGTTAGGTGTTTTTACAGGATGGGAATAGTTAGACAAAACATACAATGCATGTTTTAAAGTTCTTTTCAAAATTATTTTAAAGCATAAACAATGTAACAAGTTCTGTAATGATTTTTTTTCTTCCTCAGCTTCACGGGAGCGTTTTGTCATCATAATGTTATGCACTGCAGTGAAAGAAGTGTTTGCTGCATGCTTTATTATTTGGTCTTGAGTAGCTGTAGTTACAAAAACATTTATATATCTGTCTCTGGTAGATAATGTCAGTACCTATTCCTTAGTGTCTAGTTTGTTGTTTGGTGCACTGCTGATAGCTTAATAAATATTTTTCTGTGATCTACTCAGTTCAGCATACTTTTGACTCCAACAGAATGCTTTAATGGGAGAAGAGTTCAGCTTTCTTGATGTTACATTAGTCTAAAGAGCAAGCTACAAAACCAGATGCACTGTTACTGCTCGAAATAACAAATCTCTGCTTAGAGACACCCAGCAGAATTCATCTTCATTGACTGAGATTCCCTTTGAGCTCAGTGAGAGTTACTTTTTCTAGGTGTGTGTGAAATCTGAGTTTTTTTCACTAAGCTGGTCTGACTAGAGTATTCTTCCACTTATTTTATTTCCATTGTCTGTTGTGATTAAGTGCTAGCAGTAAAGCTGTAAACAGAGTCCACTGGAAAAAGTGTGTAACGATTTAATGTTTGAATTGTTGAATGGCTGGGTTGAGGAAGCAGCTACCACTGCAAGAGTGTGGGCTGATACCTGTAGTCCACTGTCCAGTGGAGACTAATTAAAACAAAATCTGCTTAGGACTTTGAAGATATAATGTTGTGGTCTTTGTGAAGAGTAATCAATTTGTAATTGAAATATGAAATTTAAAATAACATTGCTGTTGCTGTTTTAATAATGTATTCAGACCCCTTCTCTGTTTAAAAGCCTTTGTCTTTTTTTTCCAGTTTCTAATGCAAAAACCTTGTCTCCAGTTAGTCTTACTGAAACATTGCAGACTGACAATACTTTCCATAGGTTGATCTAGTAAAAGATGTGATTTTTTTTTTTCACCAGGAGTTCTGTTTCACACATTTTGTGTCTTTTTTTAGCTTTAACACCTTGCTTCCAGGATTCCTGAGTTTAAATGAGGATCATATTGAAGTGATTTGTTTTTTATTTCCCAGCAATGACAGCATGTATTTGGCTGTTTGCAAATATATATAGTACTTGCAATGTCTAGGATATTTTCAAGCAAAATTTGTAGGATGCATCTCTTTGTTGCATTTAGATACTGTGGTATGGCAGATATCTTGTACTTTTATATAAGCATTTCAGACTTTTTTAATTTATGGAGTTCTTTACATTTCAGTGAATCTAGTATGAGAGGCGGAATCCTGAAATTTGTTTTATATGCATGAAGGGTTAATTCAGGGAGTGGTAGTGAGGTGGAGAGGTGGCTTTCTATTTTTTCATTTTGGGGTAGTCTTAAGCTATAAAAACCCCATACATATAGAAATAAGTACTGGTGTCAGAGACATTCTTTATGCTGACAGCTACTGCATGAGCAGCGTTATGTAAGTAAGGTCCTGAAGAAGTGTATTTGGTTATGTTGTCATTCTGTTTCTACTGTTAATGTAAAAAAAAAATTCTCTCATGTCTTCTCGTTTGTTCATTGTAAGACTGACGCATTGAATGTTGACATCCAAGTGTTTGGACTGTGGCCATTTACAATGTATTTGTTATACTTATTGTACTTTAGAGAGAGAAACACAAGCTGAATCCAAACAGAAACCAGCAAATTAATGTGAGAAAAGTAAGAACAAGAAAAGAAGAGTGGGAGAGAAGGAAAATGGGCATTGAGTTCATGAGTGACGCAAAGAAAATGGAACAGGCAGGAAGCATGAAAGAGGACAAAATGCCCAAAGGGTTTGTTATTTCATTTTACTCAAAGCCCTGGCTTTTTGTTGCTTACCTTGCTTCCAGTCTTACAAATAAGTGCTTCAGTTTACTGTGCTCACTAAAAGCCAGGCTGCACTATTGTTCATTACTAAAACAACTGTTTACTATAATGGGATGAAGAGATCCTTTTGCTCCCTCTCTTGGGCTTATTTGACAGAGCATCCTGGACTTTGTATCTTTATGAACTCTCTGCTCAACTAATATTTATATTTCTCAGTTTCTCTAAGCCTTTCCAACAAAATTAATTGTGCAAAAAAAGAAAAAGCATCTTCTAACTTTTGAAATTGGTTTTCTCTGCATTGGTAAAATATATTTCTTCTGCATAATTGCAAGTGCTTGTAGTATTGCTTTCTTTTTTCTGTTGCCATTGTTAACATGAGGCAGGTCTGGTAAGTATTATCATTTCAAACAACAGGCTGTCAAAATCATTGACAAAAACAATACGCTTCCTTCTGGCTACTAAAGTTCTTGTGCTTTCTGTGGACTTAAAATGGAGTGGTGTTTGATAATCAGAGTCCTGTTCTAGCAAGAAAAATAATGCTAATTGCATTCCTTTTGTTTTTTTTTCTCAGTTATTTAGATAATGCCATGTTACTCTCACATAATCTGTTTTTCTGCATCCATTTACTTTAATTTTAGGTCCCATGCATCTGATGTTACAGATTATTCTTATCCTGCCACTCCAAATCATTCCCTCCATCAGCAGATAGCAATGCCTTCATACGGAGCAGGAGATGGTCCACAGTACATGGCAGCATCCCAAAGCCATGAGCACGAATACAGACCACCTTCCACCACTGTACGACATGCTACTTTAAACAGACCTCAGCAACCGCCTCCACCTCCACCCCAGCCTTCAGATGGCCAGCATAGCTCAGTACCTGTGGTACCAGCGGAATATGGGTAAACCTCCTGATTTATTCTAGTGGATTCTTGACAAAACTAGAGGGGTGCGTGTTTTTCATAACCGTCATAATGTGTAATGTATCACACAAGAAGACCCCAAATACGTTAGTTACCTCCTTGGGAGGACAGAAAAAATTGATAAATTTCTCTGTGTGAACTGAATTTAAATGAAATAGTGAAAGCAAAAATAATGAACTGTGTATTGAATGAGGTGAAATCAATATGCTTGTAAAGTATTAAGGGTTCCTAATACAGTATTAAAAAGGGACTAATTTTTCTTTAAAGTGGAAAATAGTTACAGCATAATTTGATTAATATTTTAAACTTCAGGCAGTGCATAGAAAAAGTATTGCTGATTGTGATTAATGTGGAGTCGTTGCATCCCTGAAATGACTTTTTAAAGGAGCTTGGGCTAGAATTGAAAGGACTCTCCTCAGAAACAGAGTCAAATTCCTTACTGCTGTGGGACAAATGCCACTCCATAATTCAAGACAGGAATTCATCAAACTCCTGCATAGATATTTTGCCTGAATGCCTTCTAAGGGAAGGCTTGCTCCAGAGTACTGGTTCTCCAATAGCAAGAAAACATCTGTTTGCTAACCAGTCTGTGTCTGTTCTTTAGTGTAATTACCTTAAACTTTCAAGCTGTAACCCCAGGGAAGTTGCAGTCATTCTTGCCTTTGTCGTTTTAAACTGGGCAAGCCAAGGATGGTCAGCCTTGTTTGATGCATCCTGGGATAGCATTTGCCTGATTCATGACTGCATCATGTTGCAGATGACTCAGCTATGAGTGACTGCTTCAACCTGCCCTTTCTCTGTTATTTCCAGTGTATACACATTATTGTGCTTAGTCCTCTGGTCCATGACCATTGTCAGGGTATTGCAGTTGTCATGAACATTGACATGTTGCTGAATGCCATCAGTCACTTTCCTTCCACTCCTGTCTCCTGTATCTAGTTCTTTGCCTATTCATAGTTCTTTTCCTCTTATCTCCTCATTTTTTCCTGCTTAAGATTACTTTTCATGACATTTTAACAAAGAAAGTAGCTCTTCCCTGTGCCTCCTGTTTAAAGTATCAATCAATTCTATGAGCTTAATTAAATGGTATTTAAATTGATAAACCTGATTGAAGAAGCCATGAGATGCATGATATACCTTTGGGTAAATCTTTCCATTCATACTTAATAGCTCTCTATGCCTGAGTTCTCTATTATCTCTTAATATTTGTCTAACCTCTGGTCTTCTATGGGATTGATACATGTAGTCAGTAGGTTTCTTGGTCCCTTCATCATGGACCTTGTACTTAATATTCCCGCGAAGTAGCTGTTTAGTAACAAGCACTTTATACTGAACTAGGCAGGAGAATAAAGACAAAAAGCTCACTTTGTAGAGTGCTGAAAGGATGCTGTCTTTAACTTAGATATCTGTCTTAAATCTCAATATATTACCAGTACTTGACGGTTCATATGCTTACAATCTCTTGCATATTTAATTCACCAGTTTAAATTCCTTTTGATTTTTGTTTTAGCAGAGATTGGATGAGAGCAGGTTAAGAGGTGATGATTCTCTAAGTCTTAGCTTTCAACCCATTAAATGTTTTTGTTTTGTTTTATATAGGATGCTTCCAGCTCAGATGGTGGATTATTACAACCCTACAGGTCCTCCCCCTCCTCCTCCTCCCCCTATGATTCCTTCAGCACAAACTGCATTTGTTAGTCCCCTTCAGCTTCCTGTGCCACCTTCCCACTCTGGACTGGTGACCGGCTCTACATATGCAGCTGCTCATCCTCCTCCTTCTAGTGGGCTTGTTGTCACTGCTCCTCCTCCCCCTGGCCCACCTCCTCCCCCTCCAGGCCCTCCTGCTGCAGGTGCATCCCTCTCTTCCTCCCCAATGCACGCTTCTCCGGCGTCAGAGGCAAAGCGCCATGAACCTGCCCAGGCACCGATAAGCGACGCACGGAGCGATCTCCTTGCTGCCATTAGAATGGGTAAGTGGACACTGAGCTCTAGGTATTGCTTTTTTTTCAATGAAAGCACTGTGTTTTCCATGGATAGTTCATGGCTTTTTTGCCAGCTGGGCAGAGTGTCATTAGCCACAGGTACCACACACCTGTTCCTATATTTGTCAGCCATGACTCTGAATCTTTCTCTAATGCCTGAAGCTTTGTCAAGCACGTTCTGCTGTTTGTGTGGACGTAATGAAATAAAAACAGCACTTGTGTTCCTTGTCTAAAGTGCCAGTAGATGTACATGGTTTTTGCTTCTGTTTAGAAGAACTGAGTTACCCAACACCAGGCTTCAGTCTGCTGATTTTTAACCAGTGACTCTTCCTCACTTTGCTTAGCAATATGGAGCTGTAGGTCTAATGGTATTTCCAAATACAATTATGGAAACTTTCATCTTCAGGTCAAAGAGACCCGTATAGTCTTGAATATTTATCCTTAACATATTGATGGCAGTTTTAGAAGTCCAGAAGCATTCAGTCTCTGAGAATGGATTCCGATCTCTCTCTCTTTTGTCTTTTCCCTTGGAATTCCTGCTCAGGCAGGCTCTCTTTAATCAGCGGTTTCTGTTTTTTCCTCTCCTTCTTCCTGAGCATATTATTAGAATACAGCTTATTGTTAGAATACAACAAACTCACCAATAACAGTATGAAACCTAAAATCTCTTGCACTGGAAACTTTATCTGAGAGTAACTTGTCTCTACAGGAATTCAGCTGAAGAAGGTGCAGGAGCAACGTGAGCAAGAAGCCAAGCGCGAGCCTGTTGGCAATGATGTGGCGACCATCCTTTCGAGGCGCATTGCGGTGGAATACAGCGATTCCGATGATGATTCAGAGTTTGATGAGAACGACTGGTCAGACTGAGTATGGTCCAAGCCCAGTGGCGACTACATTAAATACTTGGCATCAGTGGCTGCTCTCTTAGCGAGATGTAAAGCAGGACGTTGACATGTGTTAAGGCTAGTGATGGAAGTGCTAAAATTGAACTGGTATTATTCAGAATGCTGTAGCTTAGCAACTCTGGTAATCATGATGTGATTATGCTTATGCAGATCAGAAACTTGTCTTACTTTCAGTATTTACTGCATAATACTTAAGTGCCACTAAATGTAGCAACTCATGTGCTGCGTGCAAAATATGCTGCAGTTGTTGCACTGTTACAGAACCAGCATTTTATTTTACTTTCCTGATCTTGAAGGGATAAAATATATTTTTTTGACTTTACACCTTATTCTTTTAATTATGTAAGAAATTTAGGTACTTGTGAATTGGTCTGGTTGTTAGTCTTTGAGGGCAGTTAACTATATGACTGAGTGAAGTGTTGAGTTCCATAGGTGTGACTTTTAGCTTTTTTTAATTAGGTACTAATTATGCCTACCTTAGTCTATTTTTAACCACTTCTGGGCTTATGCTTTTATGCATAAAGAATTGATTTTATATTATTTTCCTTTTTATCTTAAAAATGTAGCAGATGATGAAATGTATACTTTGAAGAATGAATCCATATGATCCAAAAAGAACATTTGGTGAGCAGACTGGATATGTCTGTAACAGTACCAGCTTTAGGTTGCTGGCTGCTTGTTGGGAAGAGTGCTGGGGAGGGGTATCTCTGCTTGGTAGCAGATGCATGTCCTTGTTACAAATAAAAGTTAAAATACCTGTAGAGCTTTTTTGGTTTTATGGTAGAGATGACCTGGATGCAGGATAGACGTGATTGAAACAACACGGTTATTGGAGTGTAGAAATGCTACTGTTCCTACTAAGATTGGAACAGTCTGGATCTAGCAATCAGATACATTTCACAAGTATTAAACTTGGTCTTTATGCCTGTAGGTATAAATGTGTGTAAATAAGTTCTGTTGTTGTTGATTTGTACATGTGTAGTCATGTAGCACATTTACTCAGAACTCTTACTTTGAATGTATTTCTTTCCCAGTACATCCCATGGTTAAAACATTGGCAGTTAAAGCAGTTTTAATGGCTTTTGGGGTACTATCTCATATACATACACTTTTTTTGCTCCTTCCCTAGGAATACTTGCTGCCATAAAGTCTGCTTTGGCTGTCTCTGTTTTCTTTAAAAATAATTCCTTTTTTTTTTTTTTTTCTCCCCGCAGTACAGTATTAAAAATTTTTGTTTGTTTTGTTTTTGCTCTCTTCTGGACTGAGAGTCAGGCTGCTGCTTTGCCTAATGAGGCTCAAAAAAATTTATTCATAGCAGGGGAATAGCTCTTTCCTTACCAGATTACAGTTTTAATCTTTGTAACGGAAGTCTGTGTAATTCCAGGTTTAAAATTTGGTAAAGCTCCTTTGTTTTGTGAGGCCCTGTTTGTTCTTAAAAAAAAGTATGTAAAATAAAGAGAAATGGAAGGTGATTATCTAACCTGTGTTTACACCATTAACAGTTTTAGTCCTGAGAATGTAACAGTCTAACACGATGTTTGCATGCAAACTGTTGGCTACTGCATTGCTGTTTAATCTGCGTATGACTTTTCAATCCGTGGTGGCTGCCTTTATGGTAGGGGGTTAAGATGCTGCCTCAGTGTTGGTGTTCAAACTTATCACAAATGTACGACCAATCTCTGCGTAGTGGTGAGCAACCACAGCTCCTGGTTATCAGGGGAAGCTGAGGGTACTCATCTCCATCCCAGTTTGAGCTGGTTTTGTCTTTGCCTTAAAATGCAGAGCTGAATTCTGCTTTATTTTGTGTCCTGGAGTCTGAGGCCTGTGTGTCCACCAGAGAGGACAAAATTTAGGTAATAGGTGGTTTTCATCACTGTGTGAGAGATGGCTTGTCCTTACCATAGTGGTGTGCTTGCAAAATAATTCTTTGCATGGGTAGTGCAACTGGGACCTCATTGCATCACTGTGTAGGTGGTGAGAGTACTCTCAATATTCTTTTGATACATGCTGAAATGAAACATCTCAGCAGAAAATTCTTTCCAATCTCCTGAAATTTGATACAACAGAAGATATATTTTATGAGCACAAAAGTTTGGTGTGTCTGAAATTTTGTAATTTGTGCTTATTTTAAATAATAAGCATTTAACAAGCAATCAGTTGTGACCAGTTAAGATAGTGTAGATTTTTCAGTCATAGTAGCCAACCTGTTTTTCTGAACCTGCAGTGTTGTCATTTTCCTTTTAGTATTTTATGAACAAAATGTGAATTGAATTTAGTGATGTAAACATGATTCTAGGCTGTTTTTATCAGTTTTATCATACTTCAGGTTGTGGATAAGTAACAAATATGAATAAAATCTCACTTTTGAGCTTGTCTTTCTTTCCTTAGATTAGTAAGATTTTGCTGTTAATTTATTGATAAGTAACAGAAATGAAAATGTAAGGCTTCCAAATGCTGTCTGTGATCCCAGGGAACCATGATGTTCCTGGGATGAAGGCTGGAGTCCACAAAACCAGATTCCCTTGATGTTCTGCTGCTTCTCCTAACGTGCATACATTGTTCTTTTGGAACCTTGATTCAAGCTCCAAGTTCAAGTTCTTGGCTGGTCTAAACAGGCATTACTTTCCCTACAGGTAGCTTTAGGTTTTTTGGTTTTTTGGTTTTTTTTTTCAGTGAAATGCATTAAACATCAGCTTTGCTTCCAGAAAGAACAAGGCAGAAAATATAAGTTTTATTTACAAGTCTCTTCCCCACTTTCTTAAGAAGGAGTCTTTGTAGGTTAATGATGCCAAGCACAATAATGTAAAATGCAAACCCATGTTGGCCTACTAGAAAAATATTTTTAATTTAATCTTTTAATTGTAATCAGATTAAAGCTAGAAGAGGCTTTTGATCCCACTGGAAAGAACTTACATAAACCAATTGTGTAATATAGTAGCCTAATTGTAAATAAGGCAGATTTGTTTATGCATCTTAGACTCAGTTGTCTCCTGGGAAAATAAATTAATCTTTACTCTGTTCAACTAAAAATTCCAGTCCCTCTGGTGCTTGGTTCTTACTTCTCTCAGATTTTCCATTTTGTGGTTTGAACTTAATTCAAGTAATTTAGAGCAAAGACACCAATTCTATGTAGAAACTGAATATTCAAGCTTGCTGTTTTTTTGTTTCAAAGGTCCTCTTGGTGTAAAGCATTTCTGACGTCTCATTGATGGGTTGGAGTTAGGACTGATGGTCACTCAGTGTGCTGCTTCTACAGCTCTTGTGGTTGCGTTTGAACATTAAACAACTTACATGGAACTAAACTGAACTGGATTTTTTAGGTATTTGAGATTTCTTTTTACCAAGATAATTGAATGGAAGAGAAAAAAAAATCTTTATTGTAGGGCATGCATGTTGTTGAGAACAAGCTCCAAATTGAGCTTGTTTTGCAATATGCAGATGACTTTGAGAGAAAGGGAAATGATTCCTTGGAAAATTGGTTCTTGATGTATTTTTCAGGTGTGTTGTCTCTCACGCTGGGTGCTGTTTTAATAATGAAGAGATATTCTCTTCCCCTTGAAAAAAGATACCTAAGGATACAGCAAATATGTAATTTCTAAAAATGTTTAAAATCTCCCTGTAAACCGAACTGAATATAAACCTAATAATAATAAAGACTTCATTAGAATCTTATGTCTGGAATCTGAAGTTGCACAAATTAAATCCTGAGCTGAGGTATTAGTTCCTAGCACAGAAGTAAAATAAATATTATAACAGCTTATCCAGAGATGATTTTGACAGTGAATTTTTTTTTTAAGGTGACATGACACTTTTTTTACTTCTGAAAAAAACCCAAATAAACAGAAATTCAGCCTAATGTATTCTGCTTTGGGGAAAGGTTTTTGCCCTATGGGAGCCTGAATTTTTAATTTTGAGTCTGAGGCATTCCTTATAGGAATGACTGCATGTATACACAGACACACATGCACACGCACAGGAGTCCAAGGACTTTCAGCATGTTGAGGCAGATCTGCATTCAGGTACTCTAAGCATTGTCAGTGATATACAGGAAATGAAAATAAATTAGGATCCCTCCTAGAATCCCTCAGGCCCTTGTTTCAGCCACAGAGGAGTCAGGAGAGATTTGAACACTCTTCCCAGTTCCCTTGTACTTTAAAGGAAGTGGTGGTACTCCACAAGGACTGTGGGTTCCCAAATGACCATGGCCTTTCATTAAAGAAATGAGAAAAAACAAGTAGGCTGAAAAAGATGTCCTTTAGGTACAAAATTGGAAGAAGCAATTTCATATTTTGCTTTCTCTACCAAACAGTAGAGGCAAAGAATGTTTCTTCATGTGCTGTCAAGTATCTGTAGGTTTCTCTGGAGAAATGTGTTCTCATTTGTGGGTAGCATAGATGTCCACTCTGAGTGGAAAGCACTCTCAGGTTTGGGCTGGGCTTTTCAGCTACATAAGAAAACAACTAGCCCCTAAGATTCTTAGCTAAATATAGTAGTCTCCTTGAGATTAATTCTTACTGCTGCAGATAAATAGAGAACTTCTTATCTGATTAGCCAGAGCAGGGAGGAGGACTATGCTTTCCTCTTGGCAAGGGCTCACATGCAGAGTGATTTGGAGATTAGGGCTGAAGGCAACTGTTTTGAGATATCTCAGCAGCTTGTCCTAAATGTGTTGCTTTTCCAAGTTATTTGGCATTTTCAGTCATGTGCTGTTGTACCACGTGAAAACTGTCTGCCCTGTTCAGCAGTCACTTCTGTTGCCAGAGAAGTGTAGGTTAGAGGAAGGGAGGCCTGAGAATCTGATCGAGTTACCCTAGTGCCAATTAATACTGAGCAGTCTGTCTCCCTTATCTTTGGCAGCAGCTCTAAACATGAGTCCTACCAACTACCCCAAGGGGCCTGGCAGAACTCATCTGTTTTCTCTGTTCTTGAAAATCAGGCTCTCCTGATATCCGCTAGTGCTGATGAATTCCTTAGTCAGTTTTCTGAGTTATCCTGCTACTAATATTTTATTTCTCTAATGAATTGTATTTTCTAGTCCCCAGTTACCTTCCTCTGACTTGCTGAATGGCCTGTGCCCACTGCTTGTCACCCTCCACAAACTGGATGCAGTCACCAGCCATTGCAGAAGTGCCCTTGCTCTCCTGAACTCCTTAGCCCAGTGCTGGTTTTCACCTGCAGCCCATTCCTCTCTTGAGTCTCATGCTCCTGGTTTTCAATAGATAGCTTGTATGTTACCAGCCAAGCATCTTCCCCATTCCCTCCTTCATCGGGATTTATGGTTTGTTGGTTGGCTGGCCGTGGTTTCTCTCCCTTGGATAGATTCTTGTTCTGTGACTTTGGTGGTGATGGTGTTGTTAAAAGGGGTGCTGCTTCAGGACACAGGGCTTTAATCCTTCACTGGGGAGGATGATGGTTGTAACCAGGATTGTTTATCGTAGGCTTAGCTTAGTGATGAAGTGTGAATCTTCCTGAAGTTATTGGTCATTCCAGTCATGTGAGGCCTCACCTTAACTTTGCTTGGGACACTCTTTCGGATTTATTTGTGTTTGTTTTCTTCTGTTCTCTTTGGGTTTCCTTCCAAACTTAGCATGCTTCCTAAAACTCACTCTTCTTAGGGTGCCTTCACATAGCTGGCTAAACTGCTTCTGATTGCCATTATGTTATAAACATTATTTCTGTCTTTGAGAAAGGAGGACTTTCGTGTGTTTTGTATTCTCAGAATGACAACCAAAGTAACACTTTCTAGGCTGGCTGTGAAAGTTTCCCCATAAGTTTATTTCTACCTGATTTCTATTTATGGCATATTTGGTTCTAACAAAGGTTTAGAAGTTTTGCTTACAAGCAGTTCATCAAAATATTTAATCTGACTGTGACAAGAAAACGTTAAGGTGTGTATTGTGTGCAGGGCCAGTTGCAGTGTATGTATCAAAATAACTGGTGTTCATCAACAGTTCCTTGGGACATTAGGGATTTACTTTAAAATACATGGATCCTGCTGGCCCATTGCTTCTCTCAGTAACCAGTCACTGATTTGCTGTAACTGATGCAAACCACCATTACTACATTTCACAAGTGTTTTAAGAAAGATAAGCAAGATTGCTGCCTTGTACCTAAAGGACTGCCTCCAGACAAGTGCTTATCTGAAAAAAGTATCCTTTTTTTTATCATCCTCTGTACTCCTTTCAAAACCCTCAGTGACTATCAAGTCAACCTTTGCTTTTTAAATTTTTTAAGAGCCATCTTCATTCTTTAAGTTGACATGGTCTGCCTAGGAAACTGAATTTAGGTCTACCACATGCTTTAAGTAAAGGATGCTCCATTCCTCTCCTGTGGTGCCCCTCCTGACCTATATTCCTTGCTATGTTTCTAGAATTTATATGAATTATTTATATGGTTTGATAGATTTACTTCCTACTTTGCTGAAAGAGATAAGAAATCCTTACTTTAGGGATTTTCAAACCTAGTTAAAATA